TCTCGGAATGCCAACACATAGGGTATGATGGGGGTACCGTCAGTGCTCCGCTCTCCCTCCCAATGCTCTCTGATCAAATCTAAAGGCCCTCGTACCCTGCGGCCAAACAATAGTTCAAATGGGGAGAACCCAGTGGATTCCTGCGGCACCTCCCGGTAAGCAAAGAGGAGGTGCGGCAGGAACTTCTCCCAGTCCGTGTGGGTCTCTGCGAAGGTTCGGAGCATTTGTTTCAATGTACCGTTGAAACGTTCGCAGAGCCCATTCGTCTGGGGGTGGTAAGGGGAACTAATGACCGGCTTAATGTCACAAAACTTCCAGAGGCGCTGCGTGACTTCGGCGGTGAACTGGGTGCCCTGATCGGAGACAATCTCCCTGGGGAGTCCCACCCGAGAGAATATCTTCATCAGGGCTTCCGCTACTGTCTCAGCCTGTATATTCGTCAGGCCCACCGCCTCTGGATATCTAGTGGCATAATCTACTACGGTCAGGATAAATCTTTTACCTGACGGGCTTGCTTTGTTGAGGGGTCCTATTAGGTCCACTGCTACCCTGCTAAAGGGTTCCTCGATTATGGGGAGGGGATGTAACTTGGCCTTGCGCCGGTCTCCCCTTTTCCCCACCCTTTGACAGGTATCGCACGTGTTGCAATACCTGCGCACCTCCTGGCTAATTCCCGGCCAAAAGAAACTTTGGGTTAACCTGTATCAGGTCCTGCTGACCCCTAAATGTCCAGATAGCGGAATGTCATGGGCTATCCGTAGTAACTCCGCCTGGTACCGCTGAGGTACCACTAACTGCCTCATCACAATCGGGTCTGACCCGGATACCTGCTTATCCGTCTCCCGATATAACAGCTGGTTGTCCCAAATAAACCTCTCGCCCTCCCCCCCAGGCGTGTCTGCTGTCACCTTGTCCCTATACACCTGCAAAGTGGGATCAGTCACTACCTCAGCTGCAAATTCGCTAGGAGGGGCCCAGGGAACACAGTCAGGGGAAGGGGACGGATCTCTTACCTGGACCTCCGGGAGTGTGTTGTAGTCCTGGGTGCGGGCCTGTTGTCGAGTGACCACAGGGTGAGCTTCTCCTGTGATGGGTGTCTGGGGCTCAAAAGCAGATGTGAGCCTCCCCAGATCGTTCCCCAATAAAACCTCCGCCGGTAACTGCGGCATCAACCCCACCTCCACATGCCCTGCCCCCGCCCCCCAATGCAAATGTACCCTTGCTGTGGGTAGCCGGTATACTGCTCCCCCGGCTACCCTGACGGCCACAGTCTTACTAAGTTTAGCTTGGTCTGAGACCAGGTGACTTTTACCAGGGTGATGGTGGCTCCTGAGTCACGTAGCCCCTGAACCGCTTTACCCTCCAGATACACGGTCTGCCTGTGATGCTGGCGGTTGTCTGCGTTAGCCTGGACGGGATCTGCCTCGTGCAGTACCTCCCACTGCTCTACTGTTGTGATGGGAACTGCTGAACCATACGGTGTGGCCACGATGTCCTGGTAGTGATGGGCTGGGCGGCTCTCGGTGGTGGTGGTGGACCGGGTCGGATCCAGGTGGAACGGTCCCGCAGCTGGGGGCATTCCCTTTTATAATGTCCCCACTTCTGGCAGTGGTGGCAAGGGCCCGACGTGGGCTGGCGGAAACGTGGCTGTGTAGCGGGTGGTGGTGGTGGTGGCAGTGACCTTGGTAGAGCTGGCGTGTAGTTATTTCCCCCAAAGGTTTTAAAAGGGACTTTTGGAGCTGCAGGTTTTTGCTGCCTGCGTGCATCCAGGTACTCGTCTGCCTTCCTGGCTGCTTCGGTAAGGGAGGTAGGGTTTCTGTCTCTTACCCACTCCTGTACCTCGCTGGTTACTCCTTCATAAAATTGCTCCAGCAGTACCATTTGCAATACATCCTCCATAGACCGTGTCTTGCTCGCTTGCACCCACCCCAAGACTGCTCGTTGTAGTCTGCATGCCCACTCAGCATGTGAGTCTTTCTCCACCTTCTTTAAATCCCTGAATCTCCGCCGGTATGCTTCTGGTGTTATAGCATACCTGGCCAATATAATTTCTTTCACTTTGTGATAATTCCGAATTTCATCATTCGGTACAGTCCGGTATGCCTCAGCTGCCCTCCCAGTTAACCTTCCTGCCAAAATGGGTACCCAGTCCTCTGCGCTGATTCTATGCAGTGCACACAGTCTCTCGAAATCTTGCAGGAAAGAGTCTATATCTTCCTCTGCCTCCACATATGTTTTAAAAGCCTGGTACGATATTTTCGGCTTACCTTCATGTGGCATATTTACTGCAGAGCTGCGTTCTGGGGCCGCTGTTTGACTCCTCAGTATAAACTCCTGGACCTCCGTTATCGTTTTGGAAATAATCTCTGTTGGAGGGTGTTCCCCATAGAAAGACAGCCGAAATTGTACCTGCCTCTGGAACTCCCTTTGTTCCGGTGTTTCTCCCGAATTCCCTTGTTCGGGAACCGAATCGCCTTCCATTCGGTACTCCGCCATCAGTTCAGTGATAAGTGCCGCTTTTGTCTTATTGCTGGCTTGTATACCCTTTGCCTCCAGAAGGTCTTTTAGCGTGGAGCGTTTTAGTGTGGCAAAATCAATCTCCATCCGTACTCCATTTAGGCTTGTTCCTCTGTGAGTCTGGATCCCAGCGCTGCCAACCAATGTAGCGGAGATGCAATAGTACCCAGGTTATCTCCGCTTATAATCCAAGTGAGACTCAGGAACAAGTAAATAGTAAATCCAAAGGCAGGGTTTCCAGCAGGTAAAATACAGCAATATCCCAACAGCAATCCCAATAACTGGACGACACACAGTTTCAGGAGCATAACTGACAAGCCTTTAATCACAGTCTCCTTATAAAGCATGCTCCCATGCAAGGGAGGGATTTACAGTAATTATTACAGTAGCCAATCCTGTCCTGGTAACCTCCCACACATCCCCTCCCCTCAGCCAGCATCATAATCCCCTTATCCAGCACACCAATTCCCCCCGTTTCTGGATGTACCCCTAAACGTAGGGGTACCCCTTTAAATCATACATCCCCTGGTAGCCCTGATCTGGGTGAACAACATATCCAAAAATCACCCAGATCGGACCAGGGGTTCGGGAAAAGTATGGAGGGAATAAAATGACCGACCGCACGAACAGAGATAGCCGAATTCGGTTCCATGTGAATGGGCCTTGCGGTCGGTCCTGGCATAAGGGAATAAAATACACGAAAGCCTCTAGCTATAGAGGCTAGGGAGGGTTCGCCTGAATCCCCTCGTTCGGTATTCTCTATTTACCGAACGAGGGGCCGTTCGGTAGTTTGGAACCGAACGGACCAGGGCTGTGGAGGTCTCAGCGGTGTTCGCCTACTCGAGTGTCCGATTTTAGTTCCAGACACTCGACGGCAAAACACCGCTGTTCGGGAGTTTTAAAATGGCCGCCGCCACGTGTTCGTTTGTCGAATGGCGGCCACCCCCGAGAACAAAGGACGGCTACTTACTGTTCAATTACCCATTCGCAACAATGTTGCAACGGGTAATTGAGGACACACTTCACACAGGGAGGTCTGGTTGTTCGGTAGTTTCATTCGAATAAACTACGGGAATGAAACTACCGAACAATCAGAGGAATACAATTCTTTTTCAATACACAGAAAATACAGCAGATACACGGATGCAGCTTTATACAGTATTTTTGTAGGGTCGCCTGGTGCAATCCGCTACAGCACAAAACATACGAATGATGCCAGTGGCGGACACATGACCCATGGGGCCCCGGTGCGAAAATTGATCCGTGCGCGGGCCGGGCCGTAACACATGGCGGTGGACACCTGGTTGCAGGGGTTACAGGGCTGCGACCCCTGCGACCGCGGTATGTACGCCAGTGCATGCAGATGCACACACACTTAAAGGACCACATACATTTACTGACAGAGACACACTCAGCGACAGACATACATACACACTCACTTACAAAACATACACTCTCATTGACAAACACAAACTCACTAACATACATCAAACAGGCTCACTAACACACACACACACACACACTCAGTAAGACACACACAGTAACACACTCACTGACATTCATTAGCAGACAAACACACTCACACTCACTCTAACACTCACTAGCAGACACACACACTAACACTCACTCTAACACTCACACACACTCCAACACTCACACTAACACTCACACTAACACTCACTCTAATACTAACACTCTAACACTCACACACACTCACACTCTAACACTCACACTAACACTCACTCTAAGACTCACACACTCTAACACTAACACTCTAACACTCACACTCTAACACTAACACTCACACATTTTTTTTTTTTTTTTTTAATTAATTAATCCCCAACCTCACCCGGGACGGGGCGGGTGGTTTTGGGCGCGGGCGTGCGCGGGGTGGCGCGGGTCGTTTCGGTGGAACAGAAGACGCAACGGCGGCAGGGGTGGGTGAAGACCGCAGGGCGGGCAGGATAAGGACGTAAGGGGACGACAGCATAGTTTTTCACGAATGAGTAATACAACCGACACCTTAGCGAGGTTCGTGCAACCCAGTAGCCGATTATAGTTCCAGGGGTTTTACGCTTAAGTCTCGCTGAGTATTCGACGACAAAAGGATTGCCGCAGCCTTGTGTTCAGCATATGAATGGTTAACCACAGAACCCACAGCTTAATTGGAGACACACGCCAGTGCCTAGGTGGTCGTCGTTCGACAGTTCTTTCGTGAGCTGGTTCGGTACTTCGTTTGGTCAATTGTATATGAACGGGGACCACCCTGATGATTGTCAATTAGGCTGCGGTTAACCACAAACCGCAACTTCTGGGAGGTTAAGTGTTGCCACACTCCTCACGTAGGGTGTTCGATCGTTCGACGATTCTTTCGGTTACTGGAGGGTGACTGAGGTTAATTGTGGGCTGTTCATACATATGAATGGGAAAGAAAGCTCGTTCATATAAATAGAAAAATAAAAAGTATCTATTGTAACATCAAAGTAGGTATCCTGTAGCAGCCAGAGGGGGATCTCTGTAACAGACACCCAGGCAAATAAGAAAGCAATCCTTGAGAATGAGCAACCATTGAATACTTACTAATGAAACATGTGTTGTTTTAACCTATCTGACCATGGCACTATGATCCATAAACATACATTTTTTTTACATGGCTTAGTACAGGATATCAAACAGGATACTGGCTTCTTTGGGGATTGGGATTGGACATTGAAAATAGTTGACTTTACTAATTAAGAAAATTTCGTACTTCTTGCTATTAGCTGTATTTGTCATTATGGACATTTTTCTAACCTTTAGATTTTTCTCATGTCTACTAACCTCTCTATGTAAAAACAAACCTACTGTTGGTCATACCTTAACTTACATTCCAGCTCTGACTTTGGAAGGGTTTTATGATGTTACCTCACCTAACAAATGAAGGAACTCTCCTCTGCTGATTCTGGTGGTCTCTCAGTCCAAGGGAACGATGGTGAAGCAATAAATGAAAGTCCCACAGGCTTTGGCTAGCAGGCCTGGATATACCTTGGACATTTGGATGACCCTTGGATCAAAAGAGGGGATTGTGATAGAATTTATCTTGATTCCAAGGCTCAAGCTTATAGGTGTCATATAATGATATCCTATATTAAAATTGGCTAACTTGGACTCAGGAAATGCCTGATGCTTAAAACGACACTTAATACCATATATGTCTAGTTCCAGGATTTGTACTTTGTAAATGGCACTTCGGATGCAGCCGAAGTGCTGAAGTAGTCAAAGTGGCCGCCATTTGACAAACGAACACGTGGCTGCGGCCATTTTAATTCAGCCGATGCGGTCAGCGGTGTCTTGCCGTTGAGTTCATGGAACTAAAATCGGATACTCGATGGCACGAACACCGCTGAAGTTTTACCTTCTTTTGGGACATTCACATTTCGAATTGAGTCGAACGGCGTTCAACTATTCGAACACCACATTAACATTGCAGATCTGTACGAAGTTATAGAAAATGTGTAAAAAGTATATTTTTTTGCCCTTGATAATTAAGTTAATCTATTGTGTTGAGCTAATTGTATCACAGGCAGAGGGGAGGGTTTGTGTGTATTTGCTGGGAGTGTCTGACTGTACTGTACGTTGTTGATTGGCTGTTGCTATTTTATGTCCTGTGTGTCCTGTGTGTATAAAATAAACAATAAAGCCCCAGCTCAGTCTGTTCCTGTTTACACTCCAAAACTGTGTGTTGTCCTGTTATTGGAGGGAAGAGGATTTGCTCCTGTGTCTGCTGTTCCAGCTTGCAGGAGATTCAACGAGGAAAGTCCTTGTAAGGACTAGAGATAATTCCCCATTCAGCTCCAGGAAGGAGCAGTTCCAGGGCCCCAGTCCAGCTACGGTGACTGTGGGCAGAAGTGCTGCCGTTTGTCCCCTGGTTTGTCCTTTGGCGGAGGTAGGGAGCTCCACTACACCACAGAAATGTAAAGAGAGCCATGGTCCTTAACGTTAATAAAATTGAAAAATGGGTTAATGTAAATGCTGGTGGATAAAGGGACTCAAGCCTAGGTAATAGCACTTGGTATAGTGATCAGCTGTGCAAGTTAGTGGAAGTACCCACGGACGATATTAGTCAGTACTTCCAAATCTCCTACTAAATTTGTTCACATGTACTGGCTGCCAGGAAGTCTATTTTACGAAACCAGATTCCACCTGAAGCTGCAGCTGTGACTTTGATGATCATCTAACATTTCAATACTTTACAAATGGATTGGATAAAATCAATGTCACAAAAAGATGATAAAACAGATTTCTCCCCCCTAAATCTGGCAATACGACATTAACTCTCTTGCTGCGGACATACATACTTCGAATTATATGTTGACAATAACTTTCACTCCTGTAAATGGATGATTACTAGACTGATGGCCTCGATTAAATTGTTTCCTGGTTTCCCCTACTTGGCTTGGTTTGTGGAATGTGGAATGTCTGACCTCATGTTGGTTCTGCCAATTGTCACCTCTCTAGTTCTCTCCGTGGTGTCTCTCTAGGGGCACTCATGTTCAATCTGATTATTACAAGGATTGGTAACAAATCTATCCTGCTCTTGTACTCCGTGTCTAGCTCTGACCTATTCTCTAGCTCTGACATTAAGCTGCAGATTTCTGGCCTACAATATCTGTGGCTCCCATGCAGACAGAATGCAGTTATAGTAACAGAAGGAACCTGACATCTAGTTATGTCTTCCTGGAGGTTAACATCCAATAAATGATTCAGTGATGGCATTTTAGACGCTATGAAAACTAAGTGATTTTCTACCTTATAGACTCACATAGTGTCTTTCTATCATGATTCTGAAATGATCACCCCTTATTAAAACCTAACCATTATTTATTCAGTTGAAACTTATAATAAAGTTTGTAATTAAGTCATCAGTGAAAAACGTGTGGGGACTGACTGCAGAGCACCCAAGCCACAAAAATAAACCATAACAGCCAAATGTAAATCTCAAAGGCACCTTTCCA